AAAGCGTTTTGCATGAAACTACTATAATGGTTTTCATTATTTAACTTAAAGAGAGGTTATAATGATATAAGATATACTTAGTTTCAAATCGAGTACTAGGAGTACTAGACTAATTGTATGCTGAGAAAGTTGTTGTCACCTGTACCTAAGTTTAGTAATGAAAGTCGTGCCGGTACAAAGTTTTTGTGTCAAATGTCATGACGGTACAAAATAAATCTCAGAAGTTGTGTACAGTACGAGGCCGACCGAATGCTTAGTGGAGGGTGAAATAATATTAAACGTCGACATTGAATTCATGCACAATCAATTTATCAAAACCAATCAACCAACCATTTAATCAATCAATGGAAATTAGTTAAAATGTTAAAGTTTAAACTTTTATTATTTGCCGAACGGCGTCCATATTTAGTGTACACATTTGCACAATCTGAATTTGATTTATTTGAAAGATACACTAAACTTAACAGTAAAAAGTATTTAAGACAGCCAACTTGGAAAACATATTATTCTAAATTCTTTTTAAGTTTTTTTGATAATGTAAATAATTACCGGATGATTCTGTTAATGCAATCAATTAATCTCGTAATTTCAATCAATTAATCAATCAATCAAACACGACAGGGGTGTATATTTTCTCGAAAAATCACTCCCCCCTCCTTTTCAGAAAATAATTTTTTTCCCAGATCGTAAATTTGATTACGAAGAAAGGAATAATTTTTTAGGTTTAATTCGCTGAATTGGACAAAATAAATGATTTTAAGGAAGAAATAAATGAAATATTGGATAAAAAGTATCAAAAAGTATGAAAACACTTTTCATTCCCGTAATCATCAATAGTTATCTGAAAAATATACACCCCTGACTAACGTACGATAATCGACAATCTGTACCTGCAGCATGATCTCGGTATATTGTACTTCTGATTGCTGACAATAACACCAATCTCACGGTCACGTGATTCAGGATTATTAAAGACAGATCTAGCCCAGTCCTTTGGTCCCTTGGATCCACAGCAACCCATCTTAATTTGTAAAAGTTTGGTAAAAGTTTAATGCTGAAACAAAACAAATTTATAATTCTTAGTTTCTTATAAACGCTGATTTCACGCACTAGTCCCTTATCAGAATTGTAAACCCTTTAATTAAAAAAAATGGCATGTCTGATTCACAACCGGTATACCATTCATCCTTGATCAAAGGTTTAAAGGATACCGGTGTAAATCTATAAATGATTGGATTGTACCTCCTCTTGTACTTTATCAAAGGTATGTACACTGGCACTACTGGAGTTGTACATGTACTTCTGCAGTACAGTTTCCTCTACGCTCTTCTCTAAACATAAATATTGTACACTGTACGTACATATATTGCTCCATTCGATCTGTGCTCTTTGGTATTTTGAGAAATAATAAAAGTTTCTTAACGGGAGAAAAATTTCTTTTTGAAATTATATTTCGAAGACCTTATTTAATACTGGATAAAATCTAAATTGCGGAACTAATCAACCATCAGGTTGCAAAGTCATAGGAATTAGAAAATTTGAGTTTGTGGCAAAGACTCAATTCCTTTGGAAAATTCCCGGAGAACATTTCACCCAAACTCATTTATGTTGTTTAGCAATGGGCAAGTAAAAACTATGCTTATAATAATACATATTTGCATTGGTTACTGCATATATTTACATTTACAAGGAACAAGGAACAGACAGATTCCTACCAAGGCCGGAGATTGGAATAGAAGGGAGATACAACTGACGCAGCCCGCCCTACCATATGATTATACATGCTTTTCAGCCGGTACTTCAAATGAATAAGAAATATTTGTCTGATGTACAATTACCGCGTATACAATAACCTATTCTGAATATTTCTTATACAAAAGGAGTACCGTCTGCAAAGCTTGTATGATCTTATGGTAGAGCGGACCGCGTCAGTTGCATCTCCCTTCTATTCCATACTCCTTGATTCCTACCTATCAAAGATTCCAGAGTTTCCTTTTGAAAGTAGATAAATACACCGGCACAAATCTCAGCAATGAAAATAGCCACAAGGAAGGCAAAGAACTGAAAAAGAGAAGACAAGTCAAATTAACCAAATTGAAAAGTTTTTAAATGTAAAAACTATTTTACAGAATGAATATCATCATACAAAATATTATGTATAAAGATATATCAATAATTAAATTAAATAGTAAAAGTTTACAAATAAAAATATAATAAAAAAAAATAATTACAGATCCAAGCATCCATTATACCCAAACAAAATATTACATTCGAATTTACATAAAAATCAACCTTTTTTATGGTAAATAAACTGTAAAATCTATTAAGTTTGTAGAACATGTTTTTGAGTTCAGAAATAAAATCTAATTCAAGTTTTCGAAGTTGTAAAACCGCAACATCTTGGCAGAAAAATTCGTTATCAAATAGATTGCATCCCTAGGATTGCAATGTAAATATCAGGGATTCAATAGTGTCAAACTTTTGTTCAAAAGTTGGAGAAAAACTATAGAAAAATAAAATAGTTCTAAATCAAATACATTTTGGGTCCGTCCTAGTGAACGATTTTTGGACCCCCGCCCCCCTCCTATCAATTTTATACATGACCAAATTAGTATTTATTTAATATTATTTAGGGTTAGGTTAAGGCACTTTCTGGGCCGATCGCTGCGGCCACATGGTCAATTATATCAATGTTTAACATACAAGATCCATGTACAAAATTGATAGTTGGGGGGGGGCAGGGGGGTCCAAAAATCGTTCTCTAGGAATATGCCTACATTTTCAAAAAGAAATTCTATCCTTTAACAACTGAAACGATAATTGAATTTTCTTTTTAGCTTTATAATTGTATAATTATAAATTATTATTATTCCATCAATTGATTATATTAAAAAGCACAAATTTTGTGGAAATAGAAATTATTTATGAAATATACGCATTACAAACGTTTAGTTATGATTCAGGGTTTATAAACACGCGTCTATCAACGTATTAATATCTCAATCTGACAATCAAATTTACCTCACAGCTACAACTCCTAAACCAAACAACCAAACCAAAAAGTTTGTGACAAACACAAGAAACTTCAGACATGAGAAGCACCCTGATTGCGTCATGTTTGGAGAAAATACCCTCAGATTAGAGCTGACACAATTTTAGGTATTTTGTTCAAATAGAGGGGAGGACTTCTATAATGTTTACATCGAGAGAAGCGTAACTGAACAAGGTTTGGTTTGGTTTGGGGGATTCAACTGCTTTCTTCTCGCCTTTCTCTTCGGGCGTTTGGGGAAATGTTTAAAATACAGTATTTACATTTCATTCCGATATTAATATCGTGAATATATGCAGAACATAAACAAAATGAATAAGATTAAAGATTACTCGCGTACAAATGCATAAATTTCAAAACATTATTATTTAGCCTTTACATGAATTTCAGCTATTGTCTGCAAAGGTATAAATAATATTTGTAACAAATATTAAACCTCACATTCACTCCCTTTTAAATTTTGATTTTTCTTAATAGCCCTGTATTCACAACATTAAAAGAATCAACCTACCTATAGATTCTCTCCTAAGGGAAATGTAACAAGGCAGGGGCGTATTCAGGAATTTGTCCAGGGGGCTTACACTTTTTTCTTTCCAGGGGGGCTCAGCATCCGTCGGGGCATGAAAACCCCCTGAAATCAATAGATTTAACTGGTGCCACTGAACGTTAATAATTTAACCAACAAAAATATGTCTCAAAATAAAAGACGCTTAGGAAACCATTTATTACCAAAAATGTAACTTTTCAACAAGCATCTTCTCTACCAAATATAACCATATTTATACAGACACAGTGATAACCAGAACACTCTGAAATAGGAAGACGACTTTTAGAATCAAGTCATAACTTTTAAAAGGCCATATTAACATTTGTGCAGTGTAAACCGACCAATGTCACAAAATTAGTAATTTAATCAGTGTTATGTATAGTAAAACTATTTGCTTGTAACACCACCAAATACATGCTTATTGCTTACGTATAATGCTATAATGTCTTCCAATTTTGTATTGTTTTCGGGTTATCACTAAACAATTTTGTTTTGTTTTTTAAAAACGTTAATTGTTTTGTTATGAAAACAAAAATATAAAACAAAATATAACCATTTCTAATCAAAAATATAACCTTATATAAGATATACATTTAAATATCTTGTCTTAAAGAGCAAAATCTAAACGTTAAAATTGTTCCTATATAAGAGGGGTGCACAGCGCTCTGAATGCCTATTATGTTAAAATTAGATATAGCAATGTGTATTGTGCATTTGAAAACATTTTAAATTTTAATGTTTAAAACGTACACTTAGTTTAAAGTAAACAAAATATGAGTGTTAATGCAAAGAAAGAATCTACTTATATCAAAATCTTTCTGATTCTATATTAAAAAAAATATTATTTGAAAACATAAATAATGAAAAAAAAATATTGCCACAGTTATATTATTTATTGTTTTGATTTGTCAAGATGTTGGTAGGATTGCTGTCTTCTATACTTCTAGTTGTCAAGATGTTGGTAGGATTGTTGTTTTCTATACTCCTAGTTGTCAAGATGTTGGTAGGATTGTTGTCTTGTCTTCTATACTCCTGGTTGTCAAGATGTTGGTTGGATTGTTGTCTGGTCTTCTATACTCCTGGTTGTCAAGATGTTGGTTGGATTGTTGTCTGGTCTTCTATACTCCTGGTTGTCAAGATGTTGGTAGGATTGTTGTCTGGTCTTCTATACTCCTGGTTGTCAAGATGTTGGTAGGATTGGTGTCTGTTCTTCTATACTCCTGGTTGTCAAGATGTTGGTAGGATTGGTGTCTGTTCCTCTATACTCCTGGTTGTCAAGATGTTGGTAGGATTGGTGTCTGGTCTTCTATACTCCTGGTTGTCAAGATGTTGGTTGTCTTGTTGTCTTGTCTTCTACCCCTGCAGGTCTCCAGCATACCTCTTCATGTTTCAGCAAATACGATCTAAAGTTTAAAAATCGTTAATAAAAAAGAGATTTTTTTGCTGTTGATGATTTATATAAAGTGGTGACTAGAAAATAATACAAATTTTGATTTCGTATTTTAAAATTTTAAATACGAAATGTTTCTACGGACATTTCATTTTATACCTTAAAGCAAACTTATCGTTTTCATTTTATACCTTAAAGCAAACTTCTTGTTTTCATTTTATACTTTAAAGCAAACTTCTCGTTTTCATTTTATACCTTAAAGCAAACTTCTTGTTTACATTTTATACCTTAAAGCAAACTTCTTGTTTATATTTTATACCTTAAAGGAAACTTCTTGTTTTTTATTTTATACCTTAAAGCAAACTTCTTGTTTACATTTTATACCTTAAAGCAAACTTCTTGTTTATATTTTATACCTTAAAGGAAACTTCTTGTTTTTTATTTTATACCTTAAAGCAAACTTCTTGTTTATATTTTATACCTTAAAGCAAACTTCTTGTTTTTATTTTATACCTTGAAGCAAACTTCTTGTTTATATTTTATACCTTAAAGCAAACTTCTTGTTTATATTTTATACCTTGAAGCAAACTTCTTGTTTTTTATTTTATACCTTAAAGCAAACTTCTTGTTTTTTATTTTATACCTTGAAGAAAACTTCTTATTTATATTTTATACCTTAAAGCAAACTTCTTGTTTTCATTTTATACCTGAAAGCAAACTTCTTGTTTTTTTATTTTATACCTTAAAGGAAACTTTTTGTTTTCATTTTATACCTTAAAGAAAACTTCTTGTTTTCATTTTATACCTTGAAGGAAACTTCTTGTTTATATTTTATACCTTGAAGAAAACTTCTTGTTTTCATTTTATACCTTGAAGCAAACTTCTTGTTTTTATTTTATACCTTGAAGCAAACTTCTTGTTTTTATTTTATACCTTAAAGCAAACTTCTTGTTTTCATTTTATACCTTAAAGCAATCTCTTGTTTTCATTTTATACCTTAAAGGAAACTTCTTGTTTTCATTTTATACCTTAAAGCAAACTTCTTGTTTATATTTTATACCTGAAAGCAAACTTCTTGTTTATATTTTATACCTTAAAGCAAAGCTCTTGTTTTCATTTTATACCATAAAGCAAACTCTTGTTTTAATTTTATACCTTAAAGGAAACTTCTTGTTTTCATTTTATACCTTAAAGCAAACTTCTTGTTTATATTTTATACCTTAAAGCAAACTTCTTGTTTATATTTTATACCTTAAAGCAAACTTCTTGTTTTTTATTTTATACTTAGAAGCAAACTTCTTGATTATATTTTGTACCTTGAAGCAAACTTCTTGTGTATATTTTATACCTTAAAGCAAACTTCTTGTTTTCATTTTATACCTTAAAGCAAACTTCTTTTTTATATTTTATACCTTGAAGCAAACTTCTTGTTTATATTTTATACCTTAAAGCAAACTTCTTGTTTTTTATTTTATACCTGAAAGCAAACTTCTTGTTTATATTTTATATCTTAAAGCAAACTTCTCGTTTATATTTTATACCTTAAAGCAAACTTCTTGTTTATATTTTATACCTTAAAGCAAACTTCTTGCTTATATATTTTATACTTTAAAGGAAACTTCTTGTTTTTTTATTTTATACTTTAAAGCAAACTTCTTGTTTATATTTTTTACCTTAAAGCAAACCTCTTGTCACAGTTCTTACAAGAATGTGTTCTTGTGTTCTCATGAGTCTGCAGATGAGCTCTAAAACAACAAATTGTTAAAGTATTGAAAAAATTGTTAAATATTTGTTTATTTAAGATTGCTATACCTTAGATTTGATTTATCTGAGAAATGTTTCTTACATATTGGACAATCAAAGGGTTTCTCCCCTGTATGAGTTCTTAAATGTCCCTAGAAAAAAAGAAGATTGTATAGATCTGCAGATAAAATTACAAAAATTAAAGTTAACATAGACTTACGAATGTCTAATTTTTTGAGCCTCTGAATTGCAAATCGATGTGTTTACTTTTTTAAGAAAGGTACATAAGCTTACCGTTAAAAGTTAACGTTTTCCTTCATAAGTCAGGTTCAAAAAGTTTAACTTTAATAATCAGGTTCTAAAGAATACCTTCAAAAGTCAGGTTCTAAAGAATACCTACAAAAGTCAGGTTCTAAAAGGATACCTTTAAAACCCTAGTTCTTAAAGTTTACCTTCAAAAGTTAAATTCTGAAAGTTTCCTTTTTAAAATCAACAAATGTTTTTCATAGAGTATACTTTAAAACCCCTAATTTTAAAGATTACCTTCATAAGTCAGGTTTTTAATGTTTTCCTTTAAAATTAAGGCTCTTCAAGTCTTAAAGTTTACCTTTAACAGCCAGGTTCTTGAAAAAGTTTTCCCACAAATAGTGCAAACACAGGACGATGAATGTGTCCTGAAAATAATGTCTTGCCAATTTGAAAATCAAGAAAAAGATATAAGAATATGTTGTCGTAAATCTTTGTAACTAAAACATAGATTTCTTATAAATATCCTAGTCATCGAAGATTGTTTTCTAAAAATTCAAGTAAAATCACCAAATATTCTGACCATTGCCATAAAAAGTTTTAGATTTAAAATCAATCAATAAATAAAAAACATAATTTGTATAATTTGGTTAAAAATACCTGATATGCATTGAGTAGGCTGGCATAGACACATAAACCTGAACAAAACAAGGTTATTGTTGAAAACTTAAAGCTTATCTCACCTTCGTCCTTACATTGGTTAACAGTTTAAAATATATGATTGTAAAGAATAAATCCTTAACAATTCTGATTGAATATTTGTTTTATCTTTAGGTAGAAAAAGATGTAAATATTGTTATAAAATGAGAGTTTGTTAATATGATAAGAGTGTACAATACTGGCTGTTGATCAGAGCAATGATATTATTTATCTAAACTCATCAATTCAATTTCAGTCATAAATACCACTCTATACAGTGCTCTTCAGATCCAGATATGTAAATATTTAGTTTTTATTTACGATCTAATAATTCATCATGCTTCATAACCTTAAAATGATCTTAATAGTCCCAGATCTGACCGATGTAACCAAAAATCCTCACCAAGTGTTTAGGGAATGAGAGTAGAAGAAGGAGACGGAGATTTTACTGTAAAACATAGTTTCATTGTAAACAATAACAAAGATTGAAAATATTAGCAAGGGTTGGTATTTCTGATCAGAGCAGTGAGGCCGGGCCTTGGCAGTCATTGTTTAGTATACTTTTCTTTGTTTACAATAAAACTTTAACGTCACAGGAGAATGTAAACATTGTTTACTAAGCTTTCCCTTCTCCTTAGTTCTATATTATCTTGGTTTTAAATCCATTCGATAGGACAAAATAAAGTTAAAATATTTGTTTACAAAGAATTTACAAGTTATGGTTTTTTTTCGGGAATTAATTTTGAAAATACTTCACAGAATATGCTCCTTTAACCGAAAATTTTAAGAATCCGTGTATATAGTTTTAAAAAGCTACACATCGAACTGACATAAAGTTACTGAATAACAGTATTATAATTCATCTTATCCATCCTTACAGCACTTCTTGTATAACAAATATTATTTAACGAGTTTTTCTTGTTGTCTAGGGAGAAGCTAAAGCAGTTTCTAAAAAGTAAGGTATGAACATCTAATAAATAAACAAATTTTATTATAGTAATCTTTTAGATGATATTAAGATTTAATAAAGTCAAAATACTATTTTAGGAGTCCATAATTATCCCTGGTCTCGCTTTAACAGGTTAATCTTAATTTTTATTATTTAAGTAAACAATGACTAACTCTCTTGGTTTTTTTTTGGTGCAAATTGGCCATTTTTACCTTTATTTATAACAAAATAAACAAAAGTTTTAAAGGATCATTGATATTTTTTTAAGCTAAATATTTTTATTTTCCGTTAGGTTATACATTTTAACAATATTGTTACAGAATATATATTATATATCACATTGTTTCAGATACGAAAATTCGAATACATTTATATTGTGCTATATTAATTAGCAATTGGGTTCAAGAGTATGTTAATTATTCTATAAAAATTGAACTGTGGAGACGACATTTTTAGACTTTAAACATATATTTGTTCCATATCAGCGATGACTTTTATCAAGAACTCGATTGATAAAGGTTATAAGATTTATCGCGCATATGACTGCAGAGTTAGTTGTTCAGTAAGAACGATTTTCCTTGGTGATAGGTGCCAGGAAAGCTTATGAGAAGCATTCCGGTTTAAAACGCGTTTAGACTGTAGCATGGAATTTTGTATTTTTCATTTCATTGATATTTATTGTACTGTATTTAATGATATTTGGTGTACTATATTTAGGTACATTTCTCATACTTGTGCCCTAGGGCCTACGGTACATAGTGTAAATATGAATATAAACTAATTGTACTATATTTAGGTACGTTTCTTGCATCTGTTCTTGTATCCTGGGGTCTAGGGGTACATAGTGTAGATATGAATATAAAATAATTGTACTATATTTAGGTACATTTCTTGCATCTGTACTTGTATCCTGGGGTCTAGGAGTACATAGTGTAAATACAACATTTCAGCATCAACTAGATGCAGTCAAGGTTGGTACAAGAAAGAAAATCAATTTTATTAAAAAAAAAATATTTTAAATATTTTTTAGTCTGCTCAAGAAAGTTTCTCCCTTAATATTCAACAGTTTTCTCAAGATCTACTTCGGAAACAAGCAGAGGTAATAGATGGGGGGGGG